ATAAATAAAGAAATAAATAAATGACTGCAGCAGCAGCAGCAGCAGCAGCCACTATTTCTATTGAGAACTCTAACTATTAACTAACTAAAGTAATAATAAACGAAACAATTATTGTGAATGTAAAGAATACAACACCCACAGCCTGTTTGTTTATTGATTGATTGATTGATTGATTGATTGTATTGAGCGTGAGTGAGAGAGAGAGAGGCATTCAAAATAAAGTGCATAATAATGTGAAGACCATTCCCCATAGGAATTGTATATTTATTGGGATTATTTGTAGGCATGGAAATCATGTGGCGATCGCTCTACGATCAACGCGGAAGGGAAGCCTGAAAGTATTCTGCAAAAACAAAAACATTTTTAAGCAACATCAAATCAGAAAATGCCACAGATTGTTGTTTCATTTGAATTGATTCGAAAACTAAATCGTTCTTCCACTTATTAAGTTCTCGTTCTCGTTCTCGTTTTGAAGTTGAATGCGTAATTTGATTTTAATATTATTTTGTTAGTTCTAGAACTTATCTCTTACAAGTTTACAAGTTTACAAGTCTCAAGTCTCTTTTTTTTTGGCATTCAACTATTTTTGATACAAAAAAACCAAAAGGCATTTAACATTCAACAATTTAACATTCCCAGAAGCTAACTTCATTTCAATTCAACTAAACCCAAAACTACAACTAATTGCCTTAAAATAGTAAATTTCAAATTTAAAATTTCAAACTTAAAATTGATTTAGAAAAACCTACAAATTTGGATGTGACCCCCAAGAACATGTCGAAGTCTTAGTCTTAGCTACCTATCAACCTAATATCCTACTCGCTATTATCTACTTATATCTAGAAACCTAAATGATCAAATTTGATCGCCTTTGCGATTGCCATGAGGCTCTTGGCGAACGGGACAGGTGAGCACAGGTGCGGTGCCGGTGCCTTCCTTTCCAATGACTTCCTTGGGCTCGTCTCCAAATGTCTCCAGTTCGTCCTTCAATGCTGTCAATCTGCCTTTAGGTGCTGCTTCGGTAACGCCAAAAATGTTGTAATCCTCATCTGGACTGCCTGTTGGCATGGCCATGGTGGTTCCGTCAGTTTCTTCACTCATCCACGATCCCGTATCTTTGACTACCACGTACCCTGGCCCTGACCCTGGCCCTTCCCTGGTTGCGCCACCATCAGCATGGCACCTGCAAGCAACACCACCAATAAGAAACAACATCCAAGGGATAGGTATAGGTATAGGTATAGGTATAGGTATCCATACTTACACCATAAAATCATGACAGCATTCAGCATGCCCATTGTTAAAGATATCAGCTGGGTAAGTCCCAACGTATGGACTTTAA